AAATGCAGACCCAGCGAGGAGAGGCCAGCATTATAAAAGAAGCAGCCAGCCTCATTCCTCGCCAGATYTCCATTGGCCATTTCTGCGTGGAAGTGCTGGTGCACTTGTGCRCTAAGTCAGTAGGAGYAGCGCTGGAGGACGAWGATGCGCTGAGTGAGGGAAGAAGCYTGTGCGCTGGAAGTGATGCAGCCATAGCTRCCCGRCGAGTTAGTGCTAGTAGTAGAGAGTTAGTAGTAGACAGCTATGAGTAGTATTCATAGTAGATCCTCATGAGTGAAGAGTGTGTATGCATCGTAGGAGGAAGGAACTGAGGCAGAGAGTGTTCATTCAAGGTTTGGCTATGGAAGATACTTACCTGAGTTGAATGTGAACTGCARAGGGTGGCGCTGATGAGTGGTGACCACATTGATGACTTGGAAACAATCTGCAGAAGTAGCGCTGATGTATTGGAAGCTATATTGATGAGTTGACAAGGGTTGTGTATTGTGCTGATGAGCGCTGGACTCAGGGATCTTTGAAACTCTTTGTAATCATATTTCTGATAATATAAGTGGTGAAACTCGGTTCTCTTCTCATCTACCTTTGTCTATTGTGTGAGACTACTTGTCATTGTGTGCGAGTATGATGCATGGCATATACACACTTGCGTGAGATGGTCCCCAGGACCCATGCACAGACCCTGGTCTTTGAAGTTCAAACAAAGGTTGTCTTGAAAACAGGCCCAAAATGGCCTGCGCTAAAACCCTGGTCTGGTGCCTAAGTTTCAGGACAGGTCCATCTTATGAGGGCCTGAAAATGGCCCTCCATTTCAGGCTGAAAAGACTCAGGGCCTGGAGTGCCCTTTTTAGGCTGAAACGACACATGGCCTGTCGGCCCTTGTTTTCAGGCTTTCAGGCTGAAACGACACAGGGCCTGTAGGCCCTCGTTTTCAGGCTTTTAGGCTGAAATGAAACAGGCCCTACACCTACGGACCCCTAGTCTACCTAGTCGGGACCTGCTGGGCCCGTGTGGTACTGAGTATGCCGCACTCCCCCCTCCTTGAAAGACCGAGCTTACTTGCGAGGGCCAAACTGTCTGTTGGAGGGAGGGACTGAAGTCCAGGTGGGAGGCTGTGCAGCTTCCGTGGCTAGCCGTTTTTTCTCATAATCAGCGTAGATATTTGGTGCGGAGGCTTGCAAAGCTGCCCGGGAAATCCATCACATGTCATCGCGGTCGCACCACTTGAATGTGACTTTGTACTGCATTGGCTTGTTGCCATGCTTGCGATGCGTGATGACGCGGTCGACTTCCTGATGACCATCCATGGAAGGAGGGTCATGCGATCGTCGGCCCGGGAAGTCGTCGCTCTTGGCTGGTGAATATGTGGCCAGCTTGGAGGCGTGGAAAACCAGGTGCACCGCGAGATGCGGCGGGATTTTGATCACAAAGGAGGGGCCATCGGGCTCATCCCCCGCGGCTGATGTGACGGGCCATGGTCCAAACCATTTTGGAAGAAGCTTGCGGGACACATCTTGTTCAAGCGCAAACTCCTCCGTGGAGACCCAAACAAGGTCGTCGGCGCAGATAGGGCATGACACACGACGCCTGTTAGCTTGCTGTTGCATGCGGACTTGAGCCTTTTGCATGTTGGCGCGGGCTTTAGCCAGCAAGTCCCTATACTTCCGAACGGAGGCGGGAGAACAAGCGGCATCAATGTCGGCAGTCCTTGGAAATGGAAGATCATTGAAGATACGGCTTTTCCTGCCACCGTGGTGCAACTCGAATAGAGTCACGCCGATCGTCGGGTGCAACTAAGTGTTGTAGGCGAATTCGATGTCGGGGAGGCGGTCCACCCAATCCTTATGATCCGTACGGATGAGTGTGCGAAGAACTACTTGAGCGGTTTGATGTGTTCGCTCTGTCTGCCCGTCCATTTGCGGATGCCGAGCCGAACTTGGTTTCATCTCGGTGCCAAACTCTTTCATGAGGGAGGTCCAAAATGCCGACATAAAACGAGTGTCGCGGTCGCTGACGATGTCTTTCGGAACGCCGTGGCCGCAAATCCAGCCGGCGTGTAAGAGGTGCGCAAGTTCAGGAGCCGTGGCGTAGTACTTGCAAGGAAGAAATCGTGCGTACTTGCTCAAACGGTCAACGGCCGTGAGAATGTCGTCGTGCCCGAAGCGGTCACGGGGGAACGGGCCGGTGGCGTCCATAGCAATGGAGAGGTCGGGTTCCCGCAGAATAGGCAACGGGCGTAACTCGCCGTAGGGGTTGCGATTACGGGGTTTGCTTCGTTGGCAAACTTTGCAAGATTCGCAATACTGAGTGACGTCGGTAATGAGGTCGGGCCACCGGAATCGTTGCCGAAGTCTTGCAATCGTACGGTTGACTCCGAAGTGATCGGCGAGTCTTGAGTCGTGGTACTCGCCGAGGAGGCGAGTCCGTAAGCGACGGTCGTGTGGGACGCATAGTAAGTCCTTGCCTCGTGAGTGAAGAAGCAAGTAGCCATCGACGACGGGATAATGGCTGGCCGGCGGGTGATCCGAGGATAGTTGCTCGTAGAGCGTGGCGTATTCCGGATCGGACTTGTATGCTCGCACAAAATGATGGTGAAGGGCCTCGTCGAAACTGAACGCGTGGTGGGTCAATGCACAAAGATCTCATCTTCGCGAGCGAGCATCCGCGGCTCGGTTGGAGAGGCCCGAAATGTGTTTCGGTGTGAAGTCGAACTGATCGATGAAGTACATCCATCGAGCAATCGTGCTGCTCACCGTGTCTTGGGTCTTGTAGTAGGTCAATGGGTTATTATCTGTCGCCCAAGTGAACCTACAACGCCCGAGGAGGAAGTGTCAACGCTTGAGTACCGTGACGAACGCAAACAACTCCTTCCGCGCATCATCAACCGAGTTGATGGGAGGCACCTTTTGGCTGAAGTACTCAACCGGATGCCAATCTACCCCGTCGTGTTGTTCCAAAACTGCACCCATGCCGTAGCCGGAAGTGTCCGTAGTCACTCTCGTAGGCACGGTGGGATCATAGATACTCAGGAGTGGAACGAACTACGGACTTCGTCGGTGAACTGGAAGGGCACCTTTGGAGACTGCAATCTTGACAAGGGCGCGGCGATCCGTGCATATCCTTCGATGAAGCGTTGGTAGTACCGGACCAATCCCATAAAAGAGCGGACTTCCGTGGTATTGGTTGGTTCCGGCCAATCTTGAATGACCCTGATCTTGTCCGTGAGCAGACGGATGCCTCGCGGCGTTACAAAGTGGCCCAAGTACTCGAGCTCTTGCTGCGCGAATTCGCACTTGGCTCGGTTGGCCTTGTACTTGGTCGTACGTAGCCTGTCTAAAACAACGCGTAGATGCACGATGTGCTCGTCCAAAGTCCGACTATATACCAAGATATCATCGAGGTAGATGACCACGAACCGGTCCAACATGTCGTGAAACTCCGTTGTCATTGCCGCTTGGAAGGTGGTTGGGGCATTCGTGAGGCCGAATGGCATTACGACCCATTCGAAGTGCCCGTACCGTGTCTTGAACGTGTTTTTGTATCGATCTCTTGGATGGATCTCGAGCTGGTGGTAACCGGCCTTGAGGTCCAACTTGGAGAAATACTTGGCGCCACCCAAGTGTTCGAGAAGATCGTCGATGCGTGGGAGCGGGCCGACATTCTTAATTGTTTGAGCATTAAGCTTACGATAGTCAATGCATAAGTGCAGCTCCTTGTTCTTCTTCCGAACGAAGAGAACGGGTGCACCGTAGGGCGAGCAGCTAGGGCGAATCCAGCCCTTGTCAATGAGGTCATCGAGTTGCGTTCGAAGCACTTCGAGTTCCTCCTCGCTCATGCGGTAAATACATCCGCGCGGAGGTACGGCCCCGTCTTCGAGGATGATTTCGTGACGAATTGGCCGATTCGGTACGGTTCCGGCGGGGGCTTCAAAGACGTCGCCATAGGAGTCAAGAAGTTGTACAATGCGTGGATCTAGTGGCTGTTCCGCCGCTCGCTCGTTGGGAGGAGGGAGGGCGTGCAAGAAACAAATGCCCATTTTCTCCACACGTCGTTCCGTGCGATGGAGTTGTGAATGCTTGCCGCTGAGACCACATGACAACCAATCGAAGGGTGAGGTGGGGGGACCGTACATGGCACAAGTACCCCGTTCCGTTCATGAACATGAACGGTGCGGCGGTAGAAGTTCATCGGGTGGTCCTCGCGGTGCAACCACGACATGCCCAAAATCATGTTGAGCTGTGTGTCTAAGGACACGGCCTCGCGTGCATGCGGGGCGAAGTACACGGGGACGGAGTCAACGCACCGGTCAATGGACTTGTGCGTACGACCGTCGACCAACGTGACTTGCGTGGGCTGCGATTTCCTTCGAACGCGCGGCCCAAGGCCGGCGCGCGTCCAGAAGTCCTGGCTGATGTAGTTGCGAGTAGCTCGACAATCAATCAAAGCACTGCAGGTCGCCTTCCCAATCTGAATGCGGACATAGAGTAACGGTGCGTCGATGATGTCGTACCGTTGCGTGGCGTACTTGCGGTCAATCTTCGGAATGTACTTGCGAAGGTCAACAACCGCTACTCCGTCTTCCATCAACGGAGCTGGTACTGCAGCGTGCAAGTACTTGCGTTGTTCCGCCATTAGGGCGTTGCAATGTGACTTCGGCAAGGAACCAGATGGAGGAAGAGGCAACCATTGGAAGTCCTCTGGTGTCAATGGGTCGAGGTCCTCAAGTCCAGACCACATCGACGACTCGACGAGTCCCCAAGTAATGTCGGCGAGGATTCTGGTTCACTTGGCAATGGTGCTGAAGTCGCGCACGCGCATATGAATCTTGCACGTGGAGAGGTTGGTCCAACGGCGGGACCAGCTGGACAGCATAGTCTTCATAACCTTCGTGAAGACTGGCGACATACGCATGTTCCCCGGACGTGGAGGAGGTTGTTAGCAAGGCAACCGTGTCCGGCGGAGTAGGAAGTGGATTCGCCTCACTTCCCGCAGAGCTCAGTTTCCCGAGCTTTGCCGTGGACGGACGTCTTCTTTGCCTTTGTCAGGGCATTGCGACATCGTGTTCTAGGTGTTGTTGCACCAGTAGCAACAGTTCCACCTCTGGCGGAGCTTGTATTGCTCCGCCGTGAGGCTGAATTTCTTCCATGGCTCGTTCGGCTGCCTGACTTCCGTTGTTGATGCAAATTTCGCCTTTTTCTTCTTGTTGTTGTGTTGTGGCGGAAGGGCGTTGACTCCGTCTCCTTCACTAGACTTGTGAGTTAGAGCCTGGTCGTCCTCTTGTCTATTGCACTGGACAGCAGCGACTTGCTGCGACCACGGGCCTTCGCCCTTTTCCACAAAATTTGGTTGGCTTCGCCGCTCGTTGGCGGCCCACCGATTTGTTTGGATTACCTCGCGCGCCTTATCCACGATCTGGTCAAAGTCCGTGTACAGGCTGCGCTCCCCAAGGGCCGTGCTCAACGCGTCAACCGGCCGCTGGAAGAATTCGCTACGAAGATGTATGAACGGTATGTCCAGATTCGGAATCGTCACGAGTTTCTGCCATTCGGTTAGCCATTCGCGTGTTTGCTGGCTGCCTTGGTGCATGCCGAAGATCCGGTCCACGCCTTTGCCTTGAGCGTTGTCGACGATGAAGCGTTTCCGCCACTCTTCGGTCATGGCCTCCCAAGTGATCTTGGGGTAAAGCTTAGCGACTTCGACGCCTTCGGTTTGAGCCAGGTGGTTGAGCCACACTTGGCTGGCACCGGTGCTGCAGAGGTAAAGCGCTGAGATCTTCGACTCTGGCGGGACCAAGTGGATGGAGAGCTCGTTGGTGAACCCTTGCCACCAACTTATGGGGTCCGCCTTGTGGTAGTCATCAAATCTGTCGATGTTGAACTTCGGCATCTTGAACTGTTTAGACGTCAGGCTGTTGCAGGTCCCGGTTGGTTGCTGCTGCAGCTGACGCAGATCCTCTTGTAGAGCGGCTATTTGCTGGCTGATAATCGCCGGTTGTCGGAAACTGTTCAAATTGCCAACAAGCGCTGCTAGGTGATCCATTCGTTCTTCCAGCTCGCGGATTGATGGATCAATGCTTGATGATGTCATGTGCCCGTGCGGCACGTCATCCTCCTCCAGCACATCAAGGCGGGCATGGAGGCTCTTCAGAGTCTCCACATACTCAGCAATGGTATGTGCCTGCCGAGCCAGCTCCACTTGTTGCAAATTAGAAATGAGGATGACTTGGTGCATCATGTTGGCGAGGGCTGACTTGGTCTGCTCCTCCGCAGTTGGTTCCGTCGTCTCCGCCGGATCAACATTCCATGCTTGGAGTGCGGTGCTATGCGCGGCTTCCTGCTGCATGAGGACAAATGCGGCATCTTTTCGAGCTTTGTTATGGTTGGCAGCTGCTTCAACGTGTTGCCGGCGCCATTGCTCCGCGTCGCGTGCAATGGCGTTGAGGCGTGCCGCTTCGGCTGTCACCTCGCGTTGCTGTTCCTCTTGTACTTGTTGCATGTGGGTGCCCAGGCGGGCCAGGAAGGCCGTCATGGTCTCTCCTTGCTGCCGGACTGGCGCAGCGTCGAGGGCTCCTAAAGGTGTCGCAGTGGAACCCACCTGCTGGACCTGTGGGACCAGGGAGTTCGAGCTGCACGCCTCGCGTGGACTGCTGGATGCGGCATTGTCCACTGTGGGGTTGCCCTGGGCGTCCATTTCAGAGGGGTGGGGCAGGGGTATGTTGCATATCGTGAAGGTGCAGACCAGAACAAGAACCAACCTCTCTCACAAAGTACAAGATAGCGTAGCGGAGGACTTAGATACTAATGATCCGAACAATCAATGTTGCAATGCAGCCTCAAACACACATCATCATCATTCCATGGTGGGAAGGGGCCTGGCGCTCACACAGGAAGAATGCGCCAGTCCCCGCCATACACAGACGAAGAAGAGGGGGGTTAGACAAAGAAGAGGGG